ATTTACTGCGATGATCATTCTTCACTTTCATATACACGCTGTCTCTTCTCAGCCTGAAATAAAGCTTACATTGAGTCAAACAGCAATCTTCACCGACCAAAAAAGAAACTAAAACAATGTGGGAATCCAAGGATGGACTACTAGTCGAGTTGCATGGACTGTAAGTATGTTTATCAGTATTTACATTGCTTTCTCGGATTAGAAATATTTTGCAGTAATTTCTGTCGTTTCCCAACAGCGGAATAATTCAAACTAATGATAAGCTCACATTTTTCCTTCCGGGATAAATATCGTTAGCGGACTCTCATTGCTCGCAAAGTGATAAGGCTTTGAGATATCTTAGTTCTATCATCGACCGTTTTGATCACCAGTTCGACTAGAATGTAGCTTCCAAGAGTTGCCGTTAGCTATCACCACATGAACCTTATGCCATGCGCTGCCCTTGATACTGTGAACGTAACGCAGACATCCGAAAATCAAGATACCTGTACAGCTATTATAATGGCTGCCTCGTAACCTCGACTCCAATAGATTGTTTTCGATGTATTAAAATTGAGAGCTAGGCAGCGAGGAACATGTATAGGACTCGAGCAAAGAACATTGAATGTGCGTGATTTTTTTCACTTATTTTTGCCTCCAGGCTTCCCTAACAAGCTGAATTTTAACTAATGGACAGTAGTTATTATAATGCCATGAAAACAGCTGTCAGTGCTAGTTTTGTTTGTGTTGTTGTGAGAAAGACATAGAGCCGAGAGCTTTATACTACCCATTCATTTCATGGTTTCAACCATTGCTGAAATGCAACACCTTGCAGAAACGTCTCTAGAGTGTCGAACAAGACTCATAAAATATACGTCGTAGGTCTACGTTATCAGTCCAGAGAGATTGATAATTACTCCACATCGCAGTTCCGCAATTTGTGCCCGAGATAATAATAAAAGAGATAGATAACAACAACAACAACAAATAAAAGTTGAACTATCTCTTCGTTTTTGATCTGGTGCAGCCTGTGCATTTTACCAGTATATCGTAAAAGAGGATCGCGAGGGTCTTGCCCACGAATACACAGTGAGGCCTGCCATGGCTTGAACGGGATTATTCGATCAAGAGTACAATGCATCAACTATACAAAGGTCACTGTGCCTCCCGAAAAAATACAAATACTACATAAACAAACAAAAAAATAAATAAACAAACACGGTTCGGAACAAGATTCATGTTCTTTTCTGCGGGCAAAGGCATTCGTGATAGAACACAAGTAGATTTTTACTAAAAGTCGATAGAAACGCAGACCTAGCACGAGCTGTTGACGTAATGATGGCGCGAACAAAGAGAATTTACGCTTTGATAATCAAAGTTAACAAGTTGTTTTCCTTTTTCCGGTCGCGGTGTTCTCTAAAAGAAATAGAAAAAATGTTCTCTGTGTTTCTATCGAGTTTTAGTATAAATCTACTAGCGATGCCGTTCTCTGATTGGCTACGCTACTCACTATCTATTCTGTGATAGATAGTGAGTAGCGTAGCAGTGTACGCTTGGAAATGATGGCCGCTTCTTGGCGATTTCGAAGTGTCTGTGAAGAGGATTTAGATAAAGTTTTGAACGACTAGTAGATTTATACTAATAAACAATTAGATTACGAGCTCGAGATTTCTATTTAAACAATAGAGTGTTTCTGTCGAGGAAATATCGGCTGATAGTTGCCCCGCGGAAATTTGATGTGCTTAAAGCAAATATGTTAGTTTTAAGAACATCAAATTTCCAAGGGGCAACTATCAGACCGATAGTTCCGAGACAAACACTCTATTGTCTATATTGTTCACCACTAAATTTTCTTCCGCGCGCCAGTTCAAAAATCATATTGGATTTTTCAACTTTTTTAGATGAAAGCCGTGAAAGCCAAATGTAAAATTAAAGAAAAACAAAACAAAACAAAACAAACAAACAAAACCCTTTGAATATAATTTCAATTGTATACTTTCTATAAGCCCGCTTGTTTGCAGAAACATTTTCACGGACGAGTACTATCCATCCGGGTATTTTCCGCGGGCGGGCACTATGGGCTGATAGTGTCTCTCCGCGGATGGACACTATCGCGTCACGTGATCAGTTCCAACCAATAAGAATCGGAGAAAATCTAGTGGTGAACTATAACGCGTGATAGTTATCACGCGATAGAAATCTCGAGCTCATAATCTAATTGTTTAAGTCATTCCGCTGAAATAGAACATGCACTGAGATTTTTGTGAAACTTTGCCTATCGATTGTTTACATAATAGGAACTTAAATTTTGAAATAAAAATGAGGGGTCCCCATGTTCGTTGAGGAGCAAAAGCACCTTGTTT